CCCATGGGTGTACGCTGCTGACGTGAGCAAATGCAAAGACTATTTTTCCGCGCGCTCTTGTTTTTTTCTGGTCACGTAAGATTTGTTAAATAAAAGGGAACTCTTTAGCTACAATGTATCAATGTTATGTTATAAAACAAATGGTAAACACCACAGCGTACACTATCGAGTTATGGATGCACTTGGGAGGTTTGCTGAGCACTCAAGAGACTAGAGTCGCTCTCGGCTATCGCCTCGAGCGACTCTTACGCTTCTTTCGTGCTTAGCAACCTCCCGCGTGCATCCATAACTCAATAGTGTACGCTGTGGTGTTTACCATTTGTTAAATGTGCTATGATTCACGAACTAGATGGATGAATGATACCTTTAAGTCGTTCAGCATAGAGAAACCCTTCGAGATAATAACTGTCTAGGGCTGACAAGTAAAGACAATGCATGAAAAGACCAGAAACGACAACGTATTATTAAAAACAGAGAAGTTTTACATTGTATGTGATTGACTCCTTAAAAAAAACTCGGGCTGAGTTATTGAAGATTCTCGAACTGTTAAGTACCTTGTTCAACAACACATATTTCAAACTGAGAATAGAATTTAGATTTTATTTGAACATGTATATTATCAAGGCAGCCATGTCTAGATGACATAAATGCTCTAATACCCACCCCCTCCCCCCCATGTAGGCCTTAACAGTGAGAGGTGGAGGGAGTAGCTCGCCGAAAACTCTCAGCTGTAGGTAACATACATAAACCAAAGATTCTGCAGTTCTTCGATGATTGAAAAACCTACAATAATGAAAGCGAGAATGATTCAAACTTCGAGATTGCAGATACATTATATATATCTTATTAACCAAGCGCGAGGGCCGTACTGGGAGAATATCGGCCCGAGGTCTTGACAGTGCGGACCGAGCGCAGCGAGATCATTCGGGACAGTGCCCCGTCCAATACTTAGAGAATATTGACCGGCAATAGAGCAATTTGATTGGTTGATTTTAGTTATTGGCCCTCTGACTGCCCGAGTCGTGTAATAACATATGTTACCGAGCCTTAATGAATAGCAGTTCTGCGCTCTACTAGGCTATGCCGGTCCATAGAGTATTCATGATTTTCCCCATACTTTTGCTTACTGCCGAAAGGAGGAAGGATGAAGGGTTTTTTTTAGACGGGGGGGGGGGGGAGTTTAGAAACTCGTAGTCTTAGGTGGGTGACTTATCAGAAAGAAAGGGGCATGTTGTTTTTACAGCGTCTATGATACCCTTCTTCAAAGCGCGTGATTTCCAGATGTAGTGATGCAATGTTTCTCCTATGCTCATGGTTAGTTGTCGTACACGAATATCAACCAGTTAGCAAACACCACCTAGCAAACCTATTGTATGCATGTGAAGAATTACATCCGAATGATACTAATATGATACTAATATGATGTTTATTCAAACCTTTTGCAGAGAACTGAATTACAGGTTTGTTACAACGAGATGTTGTTAAGGTTGAGAACAGACTTCGGCATTTTCTCAGGTGCCTCTGGAAG